TTCTTTCGTGCTTAGCAACCTCCCGCGTGCACCATAACTCAATAGTACACGCTATGGCGTTTACCATTTGCTAATTTAATTTATCTACTCATTGAGTGTCATATTACTAGCTGAAAAAACATCATCAGCACCTCGTTACATTTGGAGGTAAATAAGCGAGTCCATTATTCCTGTCCTCTCCTCCGTACAAGTCCTCAGAAAATATTTTCCCTAAATTCTTCAAATTACTTGGAATATTTTTAGATTGTGTGAATCTTCGCTTCTGAGCGATAATGAGAGAATAAGACCTGTCACGGTTTTGGAAGCCATCTTGAAGAGAAGGCAACACACCTTAGAAATTACAATGTTTGTAAATAAAGAGAATCCGATGGCAAATAATTTTCTTAAAAATTGAACTGTAAACAGTATATTAATATCAAAGCTACGATACTTACGATAGTAGAGGCGCGGTGGCCTCATAGTTTGTGCACTCGTTCTTGGATCGAACGGTCCGGGTTCGAGCCCTGGCCGGGGACACTGTGTTGTGTTCTTGGGCAAGACACTTAATTCTCACAGTACCTCTCTCCACCCAAGAGTATAAATGGGTACCGGCGAATAGTTGGGGAAACCTAACAAATTGCTGGGGAGTGACCTGCGATGGACTAGCATCCCGTCCAGGGAGAGTAGTAATACTCCTAGCCGCTTCATGGCACAGAACCCGGGATAAGCTCCGGCAGCTATGAGTCAGTCGGCTCCAAGGCTTCACTTTTACGATATTAGACAAAGGATAGCATTATAGCAATGTGAGGTATGTAACTCTGCTAGAAAGTGTCCAGTCACGTTTTTAATTGTTCATGCTTTTAACTACGATAATTTTCGCAAACTTTGCAGAAAAAAAAAAATAGAGAAATGTATGACAAAATAAAAATGTGCTGGATACTTTCTAGCTAAGCTAAATCCTTGAAATCTGGTAAACACGATCCTTTATCTATTATGTTAACGCCACTGTTTATAAGTCATTTTCATTGGGTTCCCTTACAAACAATAGGGAGTTAACGAAACCACGACGGCGACGTCGAGGACAACATTGATTAAAAAATGAGTCTAACCTACGAATCTCGCGATACTCTAAAATCGTTTACTTTGTTTCTCACTATCAAAACTATCGCAAACCTAAATCCGCAACATAGCGATAAATTTGAAATAAAAATTTCTAAATTAGGCGTCGTGGTTCACGTTCTCCAGACAACGCAAATTTGGTCATTTCACGTTGTTGTTTTGCAGAGGACAGCAAAGAAATGTACCAAGAATCATAACGCATGTGCACAGCCCTTGTACTGCTTATTAATTCTTTTGTTCAGAGACGTTCCCGTTGCCGTTGCCGTCGTGGTTTCGTAAATTCCCTAATGTAATTTCTGACGCGCGTTGCCGGTCTAAACAAAGGAAATCATGACCGTGACGAGTGAGTGCTATAGCTTAAATGTATGGAAAAACATGGTAATTAGATGTGGTCAAGGTCAAGTGAAAACAATTTTAACATGGGCAACGTTTAGATATGTTCGTTTTGCGAGTTTGATTTTTTTGTTGTTAGCATTACTTTGGAACTCAAAAATATATTAACTGTTAATTAAAGGATAAATGGTATTATACCGCCTACATTTTACGATTTAATTTCCCCGTTTTCCCTTTAGTTTTCTTTTCGATTTTAATTGAACAAAATATAAAGCACAGGAAATAAAGACCTACCCTGCGAACATAGACGTATTACTGTCTCTCTCGTCTCCGCCGAAAATAAGAGAAAGTACGTCTCCGTTCGCAGGCTAACGGAGACCTTGTTTCTTGACTTTTACAAAAACCTTAAAGTGCTACTATGATTAAAAAATTCACGTCCCTTTTTCCGTCAGATTTTAAATGCGTGTTTGTTTGACACCTGATTGGCAAAATCTTGAGCTTCGAATTTTATCCAAAGGCTGTTTTCTTTGAGTGCAAGTTTAGGATTTCACGGTCCGCCATTTCACATTCAAGACTGACCGATTTGACCTCAGATGGTTGGATATAGGATGACGTCAAAGACTCACTAGCTTAAAATTGCATCGTGTAAACGCAGCTTATTGTACATGCAAAACATGAGTTTAAAAGTCTGAAAGTTCGAAACCCCCGTGCTGATTATTAATACAGGCGCGTGCACACACATTGTATTTTTAAACTAGTGAGTCTTTGACGTCATCTTATCTTCGATCCAGCTCTCTCAAGATTTTACAGTTAGTAATGGCGGACCGTTAATTAGGAAAATTTCAGTCGAAATATACAGATGTCTTTTTGAAATGAAGACTTAAAACTTCGGTCACTTAGTGGTTCAGTTATATAGTTTGAAATACAAATAAAAAGTAGAATTGATTTCTGGTCACGGTAGCAATTTAAAGTTCGTCAAAGGTATATTTAGCTGTGTGTCCGTGTTTTCAGTTCTGTTCTCGGTGTTCAGAAAAATGGCGAAATCACTGTCTTTAATGTTTGATATGCTTCTTCAGGCAATTTCAGAGCAGCGTGTAGCCTCCTGTTTCAAAAGAGCCAGGTGTGTGGATAAAATCAGGGTAGTTTTCTACACGCTATTTGTTTCTTTATTAAATGACGGACCTCAATCACCCCGTAGGTTGTTCAGTCAGTCAATCAATTCAATCATTCAATCTATCAATCAAATCAATAAATCAAATTCAGCAGGTTATCATTCAGTTAGTCAGTTAATCAATCAATCAATCAAACAATCCAACAATTAATCTTTCATTTAGCCAATCCATCCATCAATCAATCAATCAATCAATCAATCAGTCGTACAGTCAGTCAATCCTTCAGCCAATTAATTAATAAGTCATTCGAACCCAAGAGTCGATAGATCATCGTTTCTTGTTGAATCTTAAAGAATAACCAGGGTCAGAAAATCTATAGTTTTTGCTGGATGTTTAATGTTTGTACGTGTTTTTAAACTTACCCAGAAGTCGAAGGAATTGATTGTCAGCTTGTATTTGCCACTGTTACCACCCTTTTTATTTCTCTTGATTACCTCGCAGGAAGCTAGAAAAAGTAAATACATGAATATGTAATGAAACAAACGAGACGACAAATAATCAAAACTAGAGCAGTCCAGGGTTCTCTCCTTGGCAAAGGTTATTTGTGTTGCATTCTTGGGCAAGACACTTTCACAGGGACTCTTTTTACCCATGCCACGTGAATAAATGGTACAAACTAAAAACGAATTAATAACTGAGGGCATCGATTTACACCTCATCAAGGCCGTGGGGTAGGGGGCATAAAGATACTCCCAGTGGTTTGTTCAACGCCACGGGAGCCGAGATAAGCGCAATATGGGACAATTTAGCCCGGTGCCAAATGACGTGTGCGTTGCATGTAGGTATGTTATGGAACTAGCATGAGGTCCGTCTGCATTGGGGAAATACTGGTCGAGTTATTTCTTTTCTTTTCTTTTTTTTTTTTTTTAATTTAGTTTTTGCAAGTTGATGAACACTTGCAAAATAAAAAAAAAACGAGACCAATATTATACACTTAATGTACGGTCCCGAGGGAAACAGTTAGTTTTGTTTCCCGAGACTCCTGATGTTTCCCGAGACTCCTGATGTTTCCCGAGACNTTAATTTAGTTTTTGCAAGTTGATGAACACTTGCAAAATAAAAAAAAAACGAGACCAATATTATACACTTAATGTACGGTCCCGAGGGAAACAGTTAGTTTTGTTTCCCGAGACTCCTGATGTTTCCCGAGACTCCTGATGTTTCCCGAGACGAAGGCGAGGGAAACATCAGGACTCGAGGGAAAACAAAACTAGCTAGTTTCCCCAGGGACCATACATTAAGTGCTTTGTTATATATTTAGACTTTCCCTTAAACACTCCGCAATTATATAGCAAAAACAAACAAACAAAGACGGCACAACTTCTTTATTCACAACCGTCAATCCCGCTGAATGAATAAGTCTTAACTTAAGCTTAATTA